AACATAATTTTCTCTTTCTTTCTATTGAGTAATTATTCTTTTTCTTTTTAAATATTGTTCAATGGCTCAACAAATCTGGAAAGCCATTTTGTGTGGGAGATTATAGTTATTCCAGCTCATAATGGAAATGGGGAACATTTTAAGCAATTAAAACAATAACATAGGCAACCTTCCCAAGCTATTACCTCTAACTGTGTAGGAATTCAAAGGTATCAAAGAAAATGTCCCATTATTGTCCCATGTCAGTCTCATTCATATAGCAATGGATCAGGAGAGGCACTTGCAACTTACATAATATTGATCATCATTTTCATTGTATGCCAGCTTCACAACTCCATAAGAACCCTAGAAATAAACACACAATCAAAATCACTTGTTTCATTGACCTGCTCTAGGGAAAGATTCAGTCTAAAACTCTGTTTCAAGATGGAGATTGTCCTTCTAAAACCCACTCCCCACTGCTTCTCCCCTCTATTTGGCATTTTTTCATTCTTCCATTCCTTGCTTTGCAGATAGATTATAGAGCAGAGTGGGCAAGCAGATTTTGAATATTTTGCAGCCCCCTCCTAAGCCTTCTCTGGCGGTGATCTGAAATATGGAGGTACATTTTTTCCTACTATAAAACTTCTAAAAACAGACTTTATGCCGTTTTCTTTTTTAAAAAAAAGATAAGAAAAACCACAATTATTTCTCTTTCAAAACTCTGCAATGCTTTTTGCATCTCTGAACCCCCCAATTAACTTCCTCCCCTCCCCATAAATGTCCTGCAGCTTCTAATCACTGTAAAAATAATCTGGTCCACGGGTCCACTTCAGATGGACATTGCTTTCTGCTTGGGTAAGGAACTGCCTGAAATAGAGCAGTGTTTGGATGCTGTCATCCAGCAGAACAAGGCTGGGGATCTGTTTTTGATCTCTGCCAACTTTTTAGGCTGCCAAAAACGGCTTAGTGCTTAGAGGTTGTTGGCAGCTCTGCTCTAAAATGTAGTGCTATTAAAGAAGATAATTCCTCTCTCTGATGGTTGTACCCTTCCATTCCTGATGTCTGCTCTTTATTATTCTCTGTATGGAAGGATAATGATGCAAGATGGCCAGACCTATTATTCTTCTCCAGTTAGGGGAGTGTGTGTTTTGTCTTTCTTTCCCCACTTTTTAAAATCTATATGTGACCCATGTATTTGGTGTCAGAAAAAGAAGTAAAAAAGGATGAGGGGTGACATGATAGCAGTGTTCCAATATCTGAGGGGCTGCCACAAAGAAGAGGGAGTCAAGCTATTCTCTATTGTCCTGAAGGCAGGACAAGAAACAATGGATGGAAACTAACCAAAGAGAGAAGCAACCTAGAACTAAGGAGAAACTTCCTGACAGTTAGAACAATTGATCAGTGAAACAACCTGCCTGCAGAAGCTGTGAATGCTCCAACATTGGACGTTTTTAAGAAGAGACTGGACAGCCATTTGTCTGAAATGATATAGGGTTTCCTGCCTGAGCAGAGGGTTGGATTAGATGACCTCCAAGGTCCCTTCCAACTTTTATTTTTTATGTTTTTTTATTTTTGTTTTTTTAATTATTATTATTATTATTATTATTATTATTATTATTATTACTACTACTACTACTACTACTATTATTAGCTATAAAAAGGGATCGAGCAGGCCAATCAGCTCCAGATTATGAACTGCTCCAGCATTCTACATTTTTTTGCAACAATCCAATTCTACACCTACTGAGCCTTTGACATGGGGTCTTTGTGCAGGGAACTTTTTGTACACCTTCTGAACATTGACATGGGGCCTTTACGCAAGAAACCTCTTGTACAACTTCTGAACATTGACATGGTATCTTTATGCAAGAAAATTATGATCTCTAGACAGTTGAGGGACAATATTAGAAATGTATTGGACATTTTAGAATGCTTAGAACAACAAAATGGAAAACAAGCAGGGTTGGTTTTTCTGTATGCAGAAAAGGCCTTTAACAATTTCAACTGGACAAGCCAGCTTCCAATTCATTTTCCTCAAATATATGTTTTTTTTAACAGAAGGCAGTCATAACAGGGGCTCTAATTGGTGCCAAGGAAGGCATTTGCAGGCACACTCGTGCCCATCTTTTGCAGTTTCCAGGAGTCAGCAGGACCAATTTTTTTAAAAATGAAAATGTAAGAGATGTTAAGGGACAAAACTGAAGCCCTTAAAGCAGAAGGTTTCACAGGATCCTGCAGTTTCCAAACTATTTACCACAGCAGTCCTTATATATATATATAATAATAATAATAATAATAATAATAATAATAACAACAACAACAACAACAACAACAACAACAACAACAACAATAGTAAAGTTGGAAGGTACCTTGGAGGTCATCTAGTCCAACCCCCTGCTCAGGCAGGAAACCCTATACCATTTCGGACAAATGGCTGTCCAGTCTCTTCTTAAAAACCTCCAGTGTTGGAGCATTCAGAATCTACCCATTATAGTACTGTCATATGTCATAATGCTCGTAAAATAATCACATGGCTGGCCTGATTTTACAGCCCTTTTTGAGGCAGTCATTAAGGGAACCCCACAGTCATTGTGAATGCTATGATTGTTAAGCAAACTAATGGTTTGCTATGGGCACAGTTTTGCCAAAACTCAGAAAAGCTGGTTTTTGACAAAACCGTTGTAAAATGTGGTCACGTGACCGCGGGATATTGCAAACAGCCATAAATGTGGTTTTATTGCTGAGCATCTGAAGTTCGGTCACATGACTGTGGAAGGGGCCTGACTGTTGGAACTCTGAATCCAGGTTGTATGACCCCTTTTTCTGATCAGTTGTAACTTTGAACAGTCATTAAACAACCAGTCGTAAGTTAAGGACTACCTGTACTTTATACAAATGCAGTGTTAAGTGTTATTAAATATCCTGTGATGCTGCCGTGAGTTCTCCACAGTGCACTGGGGCATTGAGGTACACAATTTGGGAATAGGGGTGGTGGTGGCCTAAAGGCTTAAGGGACCTTTTCTACCTCTTTAAAAACTCCCCCCTCTTTCAGTGAAGTCTATCTTGGATTCTGATTATTCCACCTTTGGGGTGCAGCTCTTAAAGCCTACAAAAAGATAAGTGGGCCTCACTGAGCAAACAGAAATCATTCTCCTCTGGCAAAAGAGAGATATCTCCCCCCCCCCGAGAAAATGTCTTCATTTAGGCTACCACCTGTAATTCTGCTTTTATTACCAACTTCCAGGTAGGGAAACTATTCACCTATTCACTCTAAACCGCCTTCCAGCTCTGGGACACTTCTGAATTGAGGAAACAGTTAAACTACACTGCATCTGAATGAAAATAACCAGGCCCATTGGCATGGTTGAAAAAGGTTGGCCTTTTGAAGTTCCAACAATTGGCTGCATTAAAGGTGATTAAAAGTCTTTATATCATGTCTGAACACTCCAGGCAGACAGCCAGGGAAAATCCTCCTAGATGAAAAGGAAAGTGTAACAGTAATAATTACAGTTCCAGGTATAATGATAATGATAATGCAAACCAATAATTATTATTTCCTTACCTGAGCTTTCCTCATGAAAAATGGGGGTGATAAATACCAGTATTTTCTTTCTAAAATTATTATTTGCAATTCTGAGGGTGGAAATGTTTATAAAAATGCTTGTTCCCCTGGTGAAGAATTAGCCCTGAAGCTAAGCAAGGTTGCCTGGCCTTGAGTGGAAGATTTCCAGGGATTACCAGGGCTATAAACTAGAAACTATTAAAAAATTTTGAAAAGGCAACAATAAACCAGTGATGTTTTGCAGCTAAGCTTTTTGGATGTGTCTGTAAAGTCACACACACACACAATCAAACTCAACCTGGAAACTTTACTTTAAAATTATTTAAATCTAAAGTTGCAGACAAATAGTTCTGAAATTGATTAATAATACAATCAACAATGTATTTTTGATATTATTGGCACTAATACAGTACTTATACAGAGTGCTCATACTTGCACTCAAGAATTTGCACTCAACTTCCTGACAGTTAGAACAATTAACCAGTGGAACAACCTGCCTCCAGAACTTGTGGATGCTCCAACACTGGAAGTTTTTAAGAAGAGACTGGACAGCCATTTGTCTGAAATGGTATAGGGTTTCCTGCCTGAACAGGGGGTTGGACTAGATGACCTCCAAGGTACCTTCCAACTTTACTATTGTTGTTGTTGTTGTTGTTGTTGTTATTATTATTATTATTATTATTACTATTACTACTACTACTACTACTATTATTATTATTATTATTATTATTATTATTATCATCTCATCCCCGAGTCCTTCTTCCCTGAGTCCCAAGTGTAGTGCTTATGAAGTCAATATGTCCACAGATATCCTGCAAGCTCCAATTACACCTAAGCTTTAAGTTAGATTCTTTTAAGTGAAAAAAAATTAAAAATAGGAAGCTAACATGTTACCAAACCAATTGTCAAGGTTCCGATTGACAGAGACAAATAAAGCAGAACTCCGAGGCTTGCAAATTCCTCAAAGAACATTTTTATTGATACAGAGTATTGGTACTTCAAAAGTGAAACCAAGTCTGAAGAGATGCATAAAAATTCCCTAATACAAAGTTAAGAAATCCCTCCGCCAAAGCTACGCAAGCAACTACGTTTCCCCACTCAGCTTATTGGCGGGCTTTTCATGAAACGCCCAGCCTGCAATCTCGGGAGCAGCCGATGACCTTGGTTCCCATGAGAGAAAGTCCGAGAGAGAAAGTCTGTTTTGTCCAGCACAGGAGTAGGCAACCTTGGCTCTTTTATGACTCGTGGACTTCAACTCCCAGAATTCCTGAGCCAGCTTGGCTGGCTCAGGAATTCTGGGAGTTGAAGTCCACGAGTCATAAAAGAGCCAAGGTTGCCTACCCCTGGTCTAGCGCAACACCTGGCAAACCCCCTCACTCTGTGCTATGTGGCAACTAGGAACGAGAAGGAAAAAGATGGCTGCCACCATGCTCATTCTAAAGTTGACACCACTCTTCAATTCAAGAATTATCCTTCCTACAAAGAATTCTTCTGAATTTTGTTCCACCCGCTTCATGATGATACTTTTTTTCAGCAACAAAATTGAGAGTGTTTTAATTATTTCTGGTTTTAGAAATATTTTTTAAATTAGTTTAGTCTAAATTCCTTAAATACTTTTAGAAACTTAGAAGGAGACAGAAACTTTACTGCAAAATATCCAAGTGACCTCCCAGTTAATTTCAATCTACATTCTGTCCAACCCTGGGGAATAAGAGAATAAGATGCTATAAACCTTACCTTTCCTATTTCACTTTTCAGTTTGTATTGATTCAGCTGCACACAATCCTGTGGATTAAAAAAGATAAACCAGGTTAGTACGGGAGGGGGAACAAAAAATAGAAAGCCTGAGATGTAGCTTCACTTCTCTCTAAGCTCCTCAAAATAATGAGAAGTGACAAATATATTTTGGGACCTCACTCACTAGGGAAGATAAGATATAAATATTTTTAAGCAGCAATGCTTCCAACCTGCTTCTATTAAAAAAATAATTACAGCAACAGACAGAACAGACAGCTTTGCATGAAGGAAGTTGCCCAAGCATGCTCCCAATGAAGAGTAAAGTATCAAAAATCCTCCATTATTTTGTATTTTATTTCAACTTTTTTTTGGCTTTAGAAACTGGGTAACTTTGAATAAGTTCAGAATCTAAGTAAGGTCAGACTGACTATTATTACTGGACAGAAGGTTATCCAAGAAATCTCAAGACTGGGAAATTGAAAACACCATTCCAGAAGGTGACAATGTCTGTGTCAGGTCTGCCATGCTGGTATGTCTCCAATGCTTTGCTAGATGCCAATCTGCCATATTGCAACAAGCGGGAAAGGACTGTGGGCTGGGCATAAGGTAGGAGGCAGAGGATGGGGAAACGAAACTACTCTTCATGCTGTCCCACGCAGCCAGGGATTGTTACCAAAACAATTTATTTGAATACCATTAGACATCAATTGATAACCATAGGGAGTGGGATGGGAAGTCAGGGGAAAAGTTAAGCAGATGCTTTGGGGGTGAAATTCCAGATCCAGCTTTGTTGCTGGATTGTATTGCTGCTGCTGAGAAGATTACATGGATGTGTCCATAAAATCTTCGAAGTCCCTTCCTCTGAGTCAAATTTCTTTTTCTGCAGTACTTTTACCAATGCACAGGAGATGACACACTTACCTCTGAAATAGCTTGCATATGGAAGGGAATAAACAATGGAAGGAACCGAACAGTAACATTAATAACCCACAGTTTTGGAATTAATTTTAACAATGCTACCAATCAAACTATTATTCAAGGGAAAGGGGATCTGAAGCAACAATTGAAAATGGCGGCAAGGGAAGGGACAGGGAAAACATTTTAGCCCTTTTTACAATAGACAAAAAGCTCAAATTTCATAGAAAAACAATAAAAGATAGCTGAATTTGATTAAGGCACGATCTCAGTTTCTTAAGTTATAAGGGGGCTATTCCACATATACATTGGGAAAACAAGAATAGAACTCAGATAGGAGGCTGTGAGGCTCTCTCCCTCATTGGAATAACCCAATTTTGGGGATACTGGAGTTGTATTGTATTATACATTTCTGGTTCCACCTGCAGCCACAGGCTGGACAAGGTCATTTCCCCCCAACCTGGACTTTCTTCAGAGGAACGGACAAAGTGCCAGAATGACACTGTCACCATTGCTCAGAATTTTAGGTCCATGCACCTATAGGATCAAAAAAGCTAGAGCAGGTGATCTCCAAAGGTCCTTCAATGCCATAATTTTATTTACTCTTTGATTCTATGCTGTAGCACTAAATCTCCTGCAGTGAACATGAAATAGGAGATGATTATAATTCTGTGAAACGTGAATGACACAAGAAGGAACAATGGGTTCCTTTGAAATACGGAAACAGAATTCTCAGGAAATAATTATCACCCTTCCTGCTCTCCTCCCTTCCCTATAAATAGCTACTCATACACACTAAGAGGAAACCTTTTAATGTAGTGTTTCTCAACCTCAGCAACCTCAAGATGTGTGGATTTCAACTCCCAGAATTCCCCAATCAGCCATGAATTCTGGGAGTTGAAGTCCACATACCTTAAATTTTTGAGGTTGAGAAACAGGGTTTTAACATTTTCCTATTTCTATTGATGAGAAAATGAGTTCTGGAAGAGGTCTTCGGCTACATTTTGTTCCTTTCTAGGAGTGTCGCTGAAGTTCTCTCTGCATAGAACTGAGCACCCCTGTCCTATTTTACAGAGGTATGTGCAGTCTGCAGTGGGGCAAGAATATTAAATAAGACAGCACTCCGTAAACAGCATTTCCCAAATTTTCTGCTTTCTTAGGCAAATGCCAATATTGCTAAGTGTGTCAGGTGCCAAATAATATATTTTGGGTTATGACTCATAATAGATGATACAGAACTAAAGAAAATGTTGGTAGCTCATTATGACTGTATTGAGCAGTCTGATCATAGCCGCAATTAACACTGCAACCACCAACATACAGGGTGATTCTTGACTTACAACTGTTCGCTTAGTGTCCATTTGAAGTTACGAGGGAGCACCCAAAAAGTATTTACAACCTGTTTCCGAAGTTATGGTGTGTGGACACCTCCTCCCATTGTCCTGGGAGTGCATTTTGGGTGCATGGCAATCAGCCCACATTTACAGCCATTTGGACTATCCCACAATCATGTGACCACAATTTACTTCTGGTTTTTAGCAAATAGGGCTCATAGCTCGTGGGATTAACAACTGCTGTGTTTGCTTAATGACTGTCCCAAAAAAGATCACAGAAATGGGTCTGTCATGTGATGTCCTGCTTTATGACCATCATGACTTGTGACTGTAATGGACAGGCTTCATTACAGCCATAAATTGAGGACTACCCATACTAGTCATGAAGTATATCCCCTTAAATAAAATAGCACTCATTTCCAAGTAAACAGCAATATGCTCTTTGGAAAAGAAGGTTCAAATGAACACTTCCTTTTAATTCAAATTAATTTTAATTCAAATTCAATTTGAATTCAGTTTAATTCACATTACTCCCATCTGGAACAATGTACATTATTGTACAAGGGGCCTTCTTCCTTGCCTTATATCCTTTGCAGGAAATGCCTCATTCTCATTTGCTATCTCACCAACTAATTAAACAAAAATTCTCTTTTGTTTGATGAAAATGCCTGTAGGTCATTAAAACAAATTACAGATGATCTACTCTGAAACTCCATTTATTGTAGTATAGTATAGTGAGGGACCTATGATCTTCCAGAAGCTAAAATAAATTCCATCACACCTGAGCAATTAGGATGCTGACTGGAATTAATGGAAGTTAGAATACTGCATAACTCTAAGCCCACAGGTTAGAATTATAAGTTGGTTTTTGGAATAGCCTTACTGGATGACTTTTTGACAAATTTAAATTAGATATGGAACTCTTGGTTAGTGAGCCTTCCAGTACTTGATTCTGGCTAAAATGGATTGTTTACAATTTAGATATTCCTAATTATTTCAAGGTGAGAGCCAGTTTGGAGTAGGGGTTCAGGCACTAGGCTACAAACAGGAAGACTGTGAGTTCTAGTTGTCTTAGGTACAAAGCCAGCTGCATGACCATGGGCCAGTCACTGTCTCTCAGCTCTAAGAAGGAGGCAATGGCAAACCATTTCCAAAGATCTGCAGGAACTACTCCGGCAGCCTCCAAGAGTCAACATTGACCCTGAATATCAGTGTAATTTGTAAATCCCCAAAACAGATTACTTTGAATAAAACTGTTGTGCAAAGATCATTATATTTATATTATATGCATCTCTATCTAGTAAAGTTCCGAAACAGCTTTCTCTTATATTATGCATTACAGCTGTTAGCACTATAGATTCAAAAACAAAATTGGTTTTTGCAGTATGGAGGAGTTCATAAAACACCCGTCTGTAGCTCCTTAAAGCAGCAGTGCCTTTCCCTCCGGTTGTAGTTGCTTGGTGTTTTGGGAACTTGTTTGTACACCATGAAGATTTTCCCCCCTTTGAATCAGTGCTACAGAGCCCTATTTTTTATCTGCACAAATATGCAGGCAAGACAATGTGAAGAGAGAAGCGCATATGCTGTATGTCCCAAGCCACACTGCTACAGAAGGAAGTATCTCAGCAGGAGAAAACCTACTTTTTAGAAAACCATTCCCTTCTATGTGAAAGGGAGGAGGGTCTCCCACGTTTTGAACAAAATGTCCTTACAACTGGGGCCTCTAGAAGACTGCAGCTCCTGACTGATGAACTTATCCAGCTGGAAGAGGCTGAAGAAGAGCCCACAAACAAGAATCACAATAAAACCACAGGATAAAATATCCTAAAAGCAGCCAGAACATCTTCTAGTCTACTAAAAAAGTGGACTAAAAAAAAAAAAAAAAGAACAGTCTCACTTTCAATAGGCATATAGTGTCACTTCTCATATATAAATTATTTTATCTCCAAATAAATGGGAATCTATAGAGAAATGCCTGAAAAAAAATCTAAATAAGTTGGCAGGCTCATCGTCATGTAACAATATTGCCTATTCAGATAATGATGACTGAAGAAGAGAATATAGTAGTCTGGCATGCCTCAGGTTACCATGGCAGAGCAAAACAGAGATTTCCAACCTCACAGCCACCTCTTAAAATCATATTTTATGACCAACCGCAGGACTTTCTTACATGAACTTTATGTTCTCATGAACCAGAACATTTGCAGAAAGTGTGGCGAGAAAATAACATTGAAAATTGCTATCAACCAAACCCTGACTTTATAATGTTCAGGGACTGATACACATAAACAGAAGAAAGATAGTTATGGCTTAAGGTAGCCATAAACTAGCTCTAGATTGAATGTTCTCATTGGTCAGAACCTGTCGTTATCATGTCTTTATTATATTGCTATCTAAAATCTGGAGTTGAACTGGCAATAACATTTGCCAGTTTGGACTTTGGAGCTAAAGTTCTATTCTTTGAAGTATTCAGCAGTTGCAACAATGGCTGGCAATGAGCACAATAACCCAACTGCCCTTTTATGCAACATACTGGTATTAGGTTGATGCTGTTGCAATACGAAAAATTAAAGTGCAGTGAGACAATTAATCAAAAGTCCCAATTCGTTCAATTTCAGAATGCTCTTCTGTGAGAGCAAGACCATGGATAATATTTATTATGACCAAGGTATTCATACAAAATGTTACCCACAATGTAAAATAAAGAAGGATTATTTCTTTGTATTGTTTGTGTCCTGCAATGTGCAAGTCATATGTATAGTATGGATACATGCCACAGGGAATTAAAATTGGGCTGTA